TATATATCACTCGCTTTCTCTTTCTTTTTTCTTTTTTTTTAAATTTCTGAATGCACGTTATTCAAGAGTACGTTTAGTTTTGTAAAGGACCTTAGGTTCTATATATGGTACAATAATATTTATCAGCAGTAGTAGTACACTTCAGAGTCAATGCGATTATATTACCATTCTTTCTATATCATGAACTTATGTAAGTTTCTAAGACATGTTTGATATTTGCTTTCAAATTAGCATTCTTGAATAACAGTAAATCAATATCAATGTTTCAAACAGATTATCCTTCCCTGATCTATTTGCTAGATTATTAAATTATGGACGGCTACATACTGAGATGTTCTAACAATTTAAGTTTATGCAACGTTCCATGTGCTCTAACAAATCAGAATATTAGAAACAATGCGCAGAACATAAGTCTCTTATTACACTCTTTTGTTATACTCACAATTAGTAGACTGGAAAAGCTCAAATCTTGCAATGGTCGTATCAACGATGTGAGCAAAGCTTGTTGGAATCCGTATAGCAGACAGTGTCGACGAAGATGCAAAAGCAGGTAGTCGTTTCTCCAGGAGTCAACTGTTCAGATAGTGCAGGAAAAAAAGTCTTCTTGCTGAAGTTGTCGCTGTCGTAGTGCAGAGGTTGTTACCAGCACTCGTATTTAAACAATTTTCCCGCGGGTTCAAGCGAACACTGAATAACAGTCTTTTCCGAGAAAGGTGATTCCGATGCTAAAAATAAGCGTGCGAAATTATCTCCGCCCAATCATACAACCGAATAAATTATGTTACTAAATTAAGAAATCGGGTCCCTGCCACTGGCTGCCACCAATGATTATGGTCTCTGCGGCTGGAGAAAAGTGTGTTACTAAATATAGACACATTTGGGGCCCCCACTCAGACTCAGGGCCGTAAATCCACTGAAGCCCAGGGGACCCCCCGAACGACACAAATCGCTCTGCAAACCCTTTCATGCGAAAAAGGTCTTTTCAACGGCTAATTTGTAGTTAAAATATACTAGTTTCACCTTCAAATATGTAGTCAATTGGATTACATGAACACGTACATATAATACTCGATAAGGGCGGAGGCTCAGCCGGCTGGGTCGATACAACGTACTTCATAGACTTGAACCCACTGGTGATACCATTGTTTTGCTACCATAGAGAAATGACTGTGCGGCTATCTTGATCTTTGACTAATGAACCTGTTTGGTAGCCACAGAAATAATATATCATGAGTCATCCGTCTCTTGAAGTATATCAGATGTGGATTACTTGTGTCGTTGCAACTGAAAGTTAGTCATAACATGTCGTTTTTTTTTTCTTCCCTCACTCTGTTTTATTTATTTATTCATTTATTTATTCATTTATTTATCTATCTATTCATTTA